AAGGGACTGAGGGGAGGGGAGGGGAGGCTGGGAGGGAGCCGCCGCAGCGCGCGTGCGGGCCGGCGCCGCCGTAGCCGCTCGTTTCACTCCAGCCTGTTTGGGGGCACTTTGTTTGTGTCCCACAATGCTCCGCGCGGACGGCCGGGCTCGGGAAGGGGAGGGGCGGGGCTGGGCTGAAGGCGGGGCGCGGCTATTGCGCAAGCGCAGAGCGAGCTGTCCTTAGCCTGTCGAGCCAGCCAGACACAGAAGCACCGTGGGGCCTTGACCCGGTCTGTGCACTTGTTTGTGTGCTTCTACACGTGCCTAAGCGCCATGAGGCTTGTCCAGTTTGTCCTTCTGTAGCCGTGCTCTGAGCTGCACCACCAAGGGAAACGTTCGAACGGTTTGGTTTTCCTTGAAGCTAAAAGCCTAAAGAAACTGTTTTTCTCTAGTAGTTGTAGCTGCAAAGCACCCCAGTCCTTCTCTGTCGGGAAAGGAGTTCAGGTGATGTGGCCTTTTTCCGCACGTGGAAACTGAGGCCTACCAAGGCGAGGCCACGAGGGCCGCTGAGAACCTGGCGAGTCCTCCTGCTTTCTCCATGATGGATAGGGATCGCTTACAAGTGGTACCACAGAGCGTCTTGACGCGCCTGACATCCTAGTAGTGCTGTGAGGTGGCCCTAGCATTTTTCTGATTACCGTGGCAGGAAGTGCAGTTCTGAGATGACTAGAAAAAAAAATCGGCTCCCATGCCTCTTTCGTTTCCCCAACACAGAGTGGCGTCTATAACCTAAAGTGACTGTGAACTATTCCTTCCCCAACCGTGAATGGCAGGCATCCTCGTACACCGACTCTTCTCTGCTCTTGGGGGAGGGAATGTGCGGGTCACTTGACAGTTACAGTCTAAAGGGCTTTTCAAGTTTTGGTCGCCTGCAAAATCAGTGCTTAGGTATTAAAACTCCCAAAGTCGTGACTTCCTCAGACCTCAGAGAACCCGACGTGGTGATTTAGCCGGGGGTGGGGGTGGTGGGGGTGGGGGGTGTACTCCTGGAGTACCCCCGGAGACAAGTGGCATTGTGCCCAAGGAAGAGTGGAGGAGGGCAGGATGCCAGTCAAGGCTCTGCACCTTGGGCGCTGTGCATTTGTATATGTATACTATGTACCCACACCTCCAGCTTTTAAACCGAAAGACTTCTTCATGCGAGGTAGGTTGATCTCCCGGTTGCATTGGACACTTGGCCTCCGACTTTAATCCACCCTCCACGAGGCAGACCTCCAAGCATCGGAGCTCCCTACCCAAAGAAAGGTTCTTTCAAATAAAGGTAACGAAATCAAGGTCTGCGGTAGTCCTTCACAGTTTCCAACAAATTTTCAAGTATATAGAAGGTATTCAATCCTCGACAACCTAATCTATAGATTTCTTAGTATTACTCTATCATGTTTTTAAAATACTTTGGGCCTGTCTTTGCACTGAGAATTGAAGAATCTCGCTGTCTAGGGTGGTGCCTGAGTTTAAAGCCCTTGATGGAGTATGTGCCGAAAACATGTGTCATGGAAACAACTGGTGAAGAATCTAGTGGGAATAAAGTAGACAGAGTCTTAGGATAGTTAATAGACAGTCAATAAAAGAGCATTCAATTGGACTGTTCTAATTGTGACTCAAGGGACTGAGGTGGTAGCTAATGTTGACAGGCTGGGCAGAAAACACACGCATATGCACGCCCGCACGCACACACGCACACAGCTTTAATTCTCTCATCTCATTTCCTTTTCTCTCTTAAGCTTTGTCTACTTCTCATTTGGCTTCGAAAACGCTATCATCCTCTCATCCCATTCCCACCTGATGTCTGAAGAATTTATTGACAAATGACTTTTGGTCTCTTAAAGGGGGAGTTCTAGATGCTTGGAGAAGGTGTTGTGAAAAAAAAATGCTAAGAAGATTGACTGTTGCTGGAAGCCTCTTCTGTATTTTGGTTCTGGGCAGGATCAGCTTCTGTGGCTTCTTGAGCCTCCCACCTCTTTTCTTCCCGAGCTAGCAGAGACTTGCCCTTGGGTTGCTAGACTAGGTAGACCTTTCTTTGACACCAGGTTGAATAATTCTGTTGGGAGGATTTTGTGAAATCGGAATCCTGTACACAGGTGAGACAAACAAACTAGACAGTGTGAGGGACTTTTAATTATTAACCCAGTGTGGATGATTCTGAGGAATTCAAATTCCAGGCAAATTCCGGGGAGGGGGGTATTATTTTATCCATGAGTTGCTTGGGAGACTCATTTCTTGCAAAAACGGTACTTTCTTGTGGTAGATCATTACTGTTGAATGGGAACTCAGTTATTTAAATCAAAACATATTTCAGAGATAGAATGCTTTATACTCACCAGAAAGATTTCTAGTCTGACTGGAATTATTTCAGCAAGAGTCCACTACTTACTTACAACACAATTCAAGTTTCTTCCTCTTAGATTCTTCCAACTATATAAACAAAAACTCTTTTCCTTACCCTGAAACGTGCCTCTCTCTAATGTTCCCATTTCATCATCCGCTCAGTTGGGTAGGTCAACTTGGTCATTTTCCCACCCTACTGCAAGTCAGTCCAATTGAACAACTCCTGTTAAGTATGCTCATTCCCACTGCCACCATCCTGAAACAGAACAGATGGCACCTAGAAAATAGTAACATGGCTTACCTGGTTCCCAAATTGACTCCCTCTTCTCTGCACTAACCAAACGGTAGCCAGAATTGTAATGCTTGGAAACCTTGTCAACCAACAGCCAACAATTTTTCTTGTTCTCAGGTAAAGTCCCAAGCTCTTACTGTGGTTTTCATAACACTACTGTCTGGGTCCTTCCTTGTCTTCTTCAAAGAAACATGACAATCACAGAGTGATTTTTCTTTTAATCTCTAAAATACCATGCTTTTTCTTGATTACATTATTTTCCCTAAATTGTAATATTCCATTCTTTGGATATTTTCCTCCATTTTCAGAACTTTTCTTTTACATATTTGATAGTTCTATGTGATACACTTTGAATAATGTGAAATATATTTGTTACATAAACTACTGTACATAATATTGGTAAATGCTCATGTGCTGTTTGATCTCACTGAGAAGTTGTCTCTGGAAATGGGGTTGCCTCCTTGCTCCCCATTTAAGAGGGAAGCCTGTTTTTCTCATAGTCTCTTCCAAGGCTTCTTTGTCTGTGAATGAGCTGCCATCCTAGCACACACACACTTCTGGAACAGCAAGAGGACGAAAATAGTCCAACAAGCCAAGAGTAAAAACAGCGTGTCTTCGAAAACAGCCCTGAGGCAAACCGTTTCTAGCAGAGGTTACTGTTGTTTATCCCATGCTACTAAAATGCCGCCTGCAGAAGTCAGAGGAAACTGGAGGTTCAGCTGACTGCTTCGACTTGATCAGTCGGTTTCTGCCAGATGGTTTTAAAAATCCAATTTGATGATGTTACCTTTCTGCTGCTATTTATTCTTTCCCTTAGAAGCGTCCCCTGAGGAGACTCTTCGCTCTCTCAGTCAGGAACTCTAGCTGGCTGCCTCAGTGGGGCTTCCCCAGTCAATTCCTGCTAGATATTTTAAGTACCCAATTGGATGATGTTTTGCTTTCTATCTGCTCCTTATTATCTTATTTATTCCTTCTTTTTTTTTTTTCCTTTTGGCTTTGAAAGACAGAGTTTCTCTGTGTAGCCCTGGATATCCTGGAATTGGCTCTGTAGACTAGGCTGGCCTCGAACTCAGAGATCTGCCTGCCTCTGCCTCCCAAGTGGATTAAAGGCGTGCGCCACCACTGCCCAGCTATTTATTCTTTCTTTTTTTTTTTAAAGATTTATTTATTTATTTTGTATGCAACATTCCATGTATGCCCGCATGCCAGAGGAGGGAGACAGATTTCATTATAGATAGTTGTGAGCCACCATGTGGTTGCTGGGAATTGAACTCAGGACCTCTGGAAGAGCAGCCAGTGTGCTCCTAACCACTGAGCCATCTCTTCAGCCCCTATTTATTCTTTCTTTTGCATGCTATGTTCTTCTAAACTTGCTCATTCAAACCTGGAAGTCCAGCTACTGTTTATCATCTTCAGACCCATGCAGACCAACAATAATTCATACCATATGTAGCATATGTATCTGTAATGTATGTAATATATGTGTACAGTTTTTATTAAAATGAAACTCACATACTACACAATCCACTCATTGAAGGTGTGCCATTCAGAGATTCTTAATATTTCAGAGTTGTACAACTATCACCTCAGTCAATCTGTAAACTTTCTCATTACCCAAAAGGAAACCCAGACCTACTAGCTATTACTCTCCTTATCTCAGCCCTCCAGTCCTGAGCAACCACTACCGTAGCTTCTCTGGGCCCATACACATTTGCATATAATATAATATTTTTCCCAGTTTGTTGAGTTATTTTGTGTTTGGTTGA